GACGAGCTATCAGTCTTCATTGGCAAATGCACTCAGTTGCAATCCACCGCAAGAAGTGGAACAACACTGGACTTGTATACGGAAGGCAATGACCATTTCCGGACAGTCATGCTGCGGCCTAACTCGACACCCCTTGAAGGCTTGGATCTCTGCTCGTTCTCTGGAGCTGTTCGAACGCGGCAAAGATATCCCGGCGGAATCAGATTGCAACGAGCGACGCCGTCCTGCAAACCGGCTGCTCAAGCAAAGCCTACGCAAGGATCGAGAGACATTGTGGTCTGAGCATGCTTTAGAGATGGAGACCGCTGCCCTCTCTGGCAACACTCGCAGGCTTTACCAACTCATTCGGTCCACTGGCCTCAGGAAGCCTGGTGTCAGTGAGGTCATTTGTGAGGTGGATGAGTCTCCGATCACCAACCAAGAGAGGCGAATGGACGGTTGGGCTGAGCACTTTCACTCGCAGTTCAACTGGCCTCCACCATCCATCAGTACATGCAATACACCTTGTTGTCCACCATGGCTCGTCCCTCTGAATCCACCCAGCGAAGCGGAAGTCTGCCTCGAGATTCGACGCTTGAAGCGCTTTAAGGCTGCCGGCTTAGACGGACTTCCTCCCGAGCTATTCAAGTATGGCAGTGTGGCGATCATTAACCAGGTGACCTCGCTGTTCGCAAAAATTTGGCATGAAGAGAAAGTACCTTCCTCTTGGGGCGAATCAGTCATTATCCCGATTTTCAAGAAAGGCGCTCGCGCTTCATGTGCAAATCGTCGCGGGATTAGTCTTATTTCGGTTGCCTCTAAGCTATTGGCATCCATTCTGCTTCGCAGGCTATCCCCAGTACGTTAATCATACTACCGTGAAGCACAAGCTGGTTTCCGTCCTTGCCGCGGATGCGTGGATCAAATCTTCACGCTTCGCCAGCTCCTCGAACATCGCCACATTGATCACAGGCCCCATATTACTGCATTCCTATACATACGTGCCTCTTTTGACTCCGTTGATCGACCTGCTTTATGGCGTTGCTTACTAAAGAACGGGGTGTCAGAGAAATATACCGCCATCTTACGAGCACTTTACCTTCGTACATCCGGCAGAGTGAGGGCCTATGGCAAGCATTCTTCTCAATTCGCTGTCACTAGCGGTGTGCGACAGGGCTGCCCTTTGTCCCCATTCCTCTTCAACTTCGCAATCGATGATGTTCTGTCGGATGCTCTAGAATGTTTCCAACATTTTGGCCTAGAGCTACTACCGGGTGAGCGCGCGACTGACAGATTATGCTGATGATATCGCCTTACTTGGTTGACGATCCTCAGGATATGCGACTCATTGTGGATCGTTTGGCGGTTGAAGCATCTAAGTATGGCTTGAGCTTCGCACCATCGCAGTGTAAAGTACTGCTCAACGATTGGCTTTCACCTGCTCCCATACTCACTCTCGAAGGTGCACAACTTGAACAGGTAGATAGTTTCGTCTACCTTAGGAGCTGTGCATCTGCTGAAGAAGTCTCACTTTCCATCGCTAAAGCCCGATCAGCGTTTGCCAATCTGAGGCACTTGTGGCGTCGTCGCGACGTCTCATTCTCACTAAAGGGCCGAGTTTACAGCGCATCTGTTCGCTCAGTATTGTTGTACGGGCGCGAGTCCTGGCCGATTCACGTGGAATACATGCATCGTCTTTCTGCGTTCGATAACGGTTGCTTAAAGAGGGTCGCTGATGTTTGGTTGCAACATTGAGTTAATATTAATGACGTTCGACGTCACATCTTGGGGAATGCGAGTATTCCCTTCAACAAACTGGTTTTGCTGCACTAATTGAGATGGCTCAGTCACGTCCTACGCATGACACCTGAGCGTATACCTCGTCGCACTCTATTCGCTCGTCAAGGTCCTGGCTAGAGGCGACCGCGTGGTGGTTAGCCTTCCACTTGGCGATAGCACATGAAATCGCTGACGTCATGTCTAGTCGCTGTTGAACCCCTACGTCTTCCAGGATGGGAACTAAAAGGTTAGGCGTGCCAGTGGCCTAACGCTTGAAGGTATGGACCGCAACCGGAATCAGTGGAAGAATTGTGTACAGAATTGTATTTGTTCACATGTTTAATACTTCAAACATTGCAAATGGCAAAATAGGGAAACATCGGCGTGTGAAAAACAAGCTAAAAATATTTTGTTCTACTTTTTGTCAAAATGTTCCATTCTTCCTGCGGCATAGTAGCTGAAGTGTGTTGCTCACCTTCAACTACTATGTCACGATGATTATGACGCGATGACTTCCATCTATTCTCGGATCTCCATGATTTTTATTGGCTCCATGTCTAGTTACTCGACTATTGAGATTACATACATACATACCACTGCCGTTCTTTAGGGTCCACTCAACTTGGCATAAATTGGTTCACTCCATCCATCTGTCACTACGCACAGAACACTGTGTTTGAGCGTCGTATTAATTATGCACCATTCTCGGCCATTGAGAGCATCTCAGGCATAACACTGCGCTTACCAGGAATATGTTACATCTAGGCGTACAAACGAGACCGTAGTTGCATGATCTGCGGAGAGACAGTATTGCACAATTAAAATAAGCGAAATAGACCCAACTAGGTTAATGATATATATATATATATACATATATATATATGTGTGTGTGTGTGTGTGGTTGGCGGCATCCGGTTTCGGATTTGCCTGTCACTGTGACCAGCCACAGGACGCCAGCGCCTGCAGAGGGACCATGGGTGGCTTGCGCTGCACCACCCACAGCTCCATCCACACGCCCTATATTCAGTGTAAACCCAAAGGAATAAGACCGGGCGGCATGAGGATGGGAGCCACGTTTCATCAACGGAGTCGGCTCACACTTCTTCACAGACAAACACAAGCACGCTGTGTTTGGGGAATCAACCGCACACAAGGCGGTGACTGGACCGTAGTCTGCTCCACACCGGGTGCATGGAACCACTCTTCGAGGCTAGCACGACCACAAGGACCGTGCACCCCGTCCCCTCCAACAACGACCGATTGTCTCCTGGAGCCAGATAAAGGAGGTAGTGGTTACTAGTCAGGTAGGCACCTTGTCAACATGCACATCAAGCTCAGCCACACCTGGGATGTCAAACAACAGCCAATCATTCGAAATGCTGATATCGAATAAAGTAAACGAATATGACGACATAAATACTCGCCAAATGAGCATATGGACGAAATTGGTTATAAGTGAATCCGTGGTGAGTACAAAAGTCCGAAAGTTATTTTTTTTAGATAATACGCGATAAAAGTACGCAAGTTTACCACAATTTGCAGGAGCGACGTGTGCAAGTTGGGAGATAATCAATTACGGAGAACAAACCAAATAAAGTGGAATGAATTTTATGCACATTAAAAGTATTTAGTTTAAGTGTAACTTGGTTTAGCCCAGCTGCGGTGAAGAAGCATTATGAATGCGACATCAGCCTCAGCTGATATATATATATATATATATATATATATATATATATATATATATATATGTAAGTCTACGCAAAAAGCAATGAGTGTGGTCAAACTTGTGTTACAAAGTAACTAAATGTATTTGTGTAATCCCCTCACTTTACTGCACTCTCCGACCGGCTTCGAACTTGGTTGCCCTCATTAGTCGGGGATAGCAAGACTGCGACCCAAACTCGGGACCGATGGGGTACCGCTTGAATCCTCAACTCAATGACCACTGACTTGCGCCTGACAAAGCCTGTCACGGTGGTGGATGCTTGATGACATGGGTCATTTTAAAACACACTTTTAAAGCACACTTTGTGTAGGTGGACTACGTCACACACCTTCAATGTGCACCGCAATTCATTTGAAGGGAAGCTCGGTCACTGGAACTCTATCTGAAAAAGACAACTATTGGGTGTTGTGAGTGTGTAATGGCTAATATTTGTCAAACGATCAATTGTTGTTTAATCCACAAAGTCCGGTTTTATCCAGATTAATGTGATAGCATGTGCGAAACGACGACTGCAGCGATTAAAGTGACACAGTGCACCTTTGAATCCATAAAGCTCGAATTTGCGTCAAAAACTGCAGTGCCTTACACTAATCCATGCTTCTTACGCTTCACAGAGACTATCACAATAAGCCGGTCAGCCGGATGTAACCGGGCACTATACGCCCTGGGTCACCATATGAACTTATCTTACACCGCTCACATTACTGTCCAAGTTTGGCTGGTCATACCCACTGGTGGGCAACTATATGGATGTCATTTGGTGTTGGTCCTGAGGAGACACTCTGAAATGCACGCATCTGTCTGTTTTTGTCTTGTTACCGAGCTTTGACACGCATAAACAGTGTATCATACAAGCGAATGCGGGGAAATGCGTTGTTTCTTTTTAAGACAATTGTCTACGGTTGCATGTTCACCTCCAATAAATCTTTCTTCGTGACTTCGATCTTTGACCCAGGGATAAATAATGCAGCTGAGTTGACCTGTGTTTGCGGACTGCTTGTCCACCGCCTTTCAACTGATCACACTCCGTTGGGTGCGCATATAGAGACCATTATCACCTCCCCCGAAGTTACACTTTTGAAAACGAATCAGCGTTTGTGATTTTTCTTATCCCAGTCCCCAGTCTCTAGTCCAACCGTTGGTCCTCATCTCATGTGAATCAGATATGCAAGCCACTCATACAACTTTCTAGTGCAAAATGTGGATCCTCGATTGAACCAACGTCCAAGACATTGTGTTCGGTATCATAACACTATTATATTGCAGTGGCTCCTCACCTCTTTGGGTGACTCCCATGGTTCTTGTTCCCGGTCAATTTACGCATCCGGAATCTCCATTTTCCCCAAGCTATTCAGTCCAGTTTTGATCGCTCGTATTTCCTCCTCAGCTTCTTCCATCTGTGTTATTCATTCTCTATGATGAAGTTTGTCTCAGCTAAGATTGGTTGCGCATACACACAAACACACATACTATGCTCTGTATTATGTTTTAGTCGAAGCCTTATCTTTCTATTTAGGCAATCAACCTGCGTTCAATTGGTCATCTCATCGAACATTTGATCGGCGGTGGTTACCAGCATAGTTATTGTGATAAATCTGGTCCGGGGCACACCACATGTGCCCACACGGGTCTTTGTCGAGAATGCACTCTGTGCCCTTCGGAGTCACAATTGGTAAGCTGATATCCCTGCTTCATTTATTCCTTCACATGCAAGTTATCTATTTCGGCTTTCCCTTCGCCTTGAGGCTGTTTGGTGCGCTAGACTTTCCATTTGACCAAAATGGGTTTATTTTCAACTAGTTGTGGGTCGGCTGCTGATGCCAACTTGGGGAACTTTGGAAACATGGATATCTTTCTGTCTTCAATAGTTGTGTCTCTGCGGAACCTAGTCAACTCACTCATCTCCCCATTAACGGACTGTACAATTTCGGCATTTCCTTAGTCATGTGTACGAGGGCAAAGCAGTAGGTTTCCGGAACCATCAGAGCAGAGCAATAAGTTTCCGGATGCGCAGTACACAGATTAGGTGTATTTGGTCTGGCTAGAACAATGTGAACTGTAGTCCATTCTGAACACTGCTCAGTGATTTCAACTCACGGAACCCTATGTCAGCAGCCCAGCACAGCTCACAAGTCGTAAGGGTCGCTATACTCTGACTGTATATATGAAAATCCACCAGTGTCACCGGAGGGCGATGATTTTCTATGATTACAGATGTGGTTTAGAGCAACACCAGCGTGTTGAGCGATTGCGTGCTGCATTTGGTGATGATGCGCCTTCAAGAACCACTGTTTTTGTGGTTTTCGGAATTCAAGCGTGATAGGCGGTCCCTAGTCGATTTGTGAAGGCTACCACTGCAGATATCATTGCTGCTGTGCAAACGATGCTAGGGGGAACACGCGCGGGTGACCGTGGTACAGCTGGAGAAAGCCATCGGGATCTCCTCGTGATCAATCCGCACCATCCTACATGAGAAACTTTGACTCAGAAAGGTGTGCGCACGATGAGTACTGCAACAGCTCAGTGCGGACCAGAAAGCAATTCGGTGGTATAGGTGCCACACCATGCTTGCCAGGTTTGGTGCTGGAGGTTCCAATGCTGTTTGGGTTATCCTCAGGGGTGATACGACCTCGGCGTACAGTTTCAACTCAATGACCAAACAACAATCGGCCTAATAAACGGCTGCTTTTGGGGTGCCGCCTCAGAAATTCCGGTGTGAACACAGCGTGGCCAAGCAGATGGTTGCTGTGTTCGTGGCCAAGACCGGTCATGTGACCACCGTACTGCTCGTACGGCAACGCGCAGGCACCGGAGACGAGTATGCCACCCACTGTTTGCCACAAGTGCTGGAAGCTGTAGCCAGGTGTCGTCCAAGGCCTCAAACAGGATGGACCTTTCTGCACCATGACAACGCGCCTGCACACAGGTGCCATGTCGTCGTAGATTTTCTTGCTGGAGAACTCATCCAAGAGTTCAGTCACCCACCCTACAACCAAGACCTGGCTCCGCATGACTTTTATGTTCCCAAATGTCATGCGCATGATGCGTGGAATATGCTACGAGTCTCCAGAACCCGCAGTAGATGTCTTTGTTGAGCTACTTGAAGTATTACCCGCTTAATCATCGTCTAGCTGCTTCTCCAAATGGCTTGTGTGCATGGAACTGTGCATGACCGCTCAAGGTACTTACCATACCCCCTCTGCTCGCGTAGGATCAAGTTAGGTGGTGCTTAGCTGACGCATGGTGATTGCGCAACATACGTTCCTTCATATTCCGGACCTCGCGTCCGTGTGTTCGATTCTTATGGAGTAGAAAATAGGGACCTATCCTTGAGATAGTAAGGCTGATACGCTGCAGCATCATCACAAAGGGCTGTCACTGTCAAATAGACCTCTCGTTACTTAGGGGATTACTAGCCTTATCCGCGCTTTTGCCTTTGCTTGTGCTACTGCCGATCCTGTTATGCTAATCGTTAATTCCTGCAATCATCCCACATGACCCGACTCCCCGTTTCCCTCTAGCCGATCGTCATGAACCATATGGTATTTTGAGGGAACTTTGTGCCTTTTTCGATAGCTCAGTTTCAATGTAAACTTGTTTTTAAACCCACGTCATTGATAAAAAAGAACCATGCAGTACTTGAATCTTGGTTGCGCCTTATCTGTCATCCACACGAGCAATGGCACTTCACCATCCGCCTTCACATATTCTGAATTCCCCATTTCCGATATCTTATGACTTCCGCCTGCTTTATCGGAAGTTTTTCCCACCCGAAACCAACAACCATTGTATGCTTCACAGAATCAAAAGATATTTTAGCTCTTAGTTGCGGGGTCGCCATACGTTCCTCCTACCACACATTCCCAACAAATGACACAGAATCGAATCCTAGATCGCTCCACGCGATAGCCAGTCAGTTCAATCTGTTGCACTCTGTATAGGCACCTTGATACAGTAGGACTCGGTGGAATCGCCGAAGATCTGCACACCTAAAGTGCCAGCCTTTTTAACATTTAGGCTCATCGCATGCGCTTCATCAGAACCGGGTCTCCCTAGTCACTCCTGCTCAGGATGTGTGCGCCAGGTCGTATGACCTTATTTCATTTCCCGCCGTTTAGTACACATATCTGTACATGAGCTTAGTAGGGGGATTTGAATGGCGCATCTAGACTCATTTGTACACTCATCACACCCCCGGAAAAGCAGCGCCATATGGCATCCAGTGACGAAGTCACATTGATCATTAACACAAATGTCCTACTTTTTCATCCAGAAATGATCGCATAAGCGACAGCGTTGTCTTTGTACGACAATTGCTAAGCTTTCAACTATCCTAGCCAACATCCTACTGAATATTGAAGGCAAACCGTAGTGTCTCTGATTTTCCCTGCTTTCCGGGGACTACAATTTTGCGCGTTCTTCTCTATAGTCTCCTAGTATAAACACATCCTCTATTTTAATGTTTCCCTACCTTGACACCGTTTTATTCTCGTGATGAGGCTAACGAGCGACATACAGCGGTTCCAATTACGCATGTCGAAATGGCTCACTTGTACTTTCTTTATTTGTTTGTCTTGGAACCTCCATTATTTTTTCATAGGCCGGTCTTGTGGCGAAGTCGTTAAACGAGTCAAAGTCTGCTTCCCCCTTTATCACTGGCCCCATGACTACGGAGCAACCGACTTTGTCGTCAACTGCAAGTCAATTCAATTTACCTGCCGGGACTGCCTTCGTGATCACTGGTCCTGTCTACCACACGAAACCTCATTTGCACCGTTCGTTCCGTTATCCATACACAGAGCTACTCCAATGGGCGTTACTGACTCGTCGCTACAAAATGGCCCGGTTCATGGTGCTTGCTGGTGAGGAATCGATCGCAAAGGTAATGTTGGAGCTTGGTACTTGGTCTTTGGTGTAGACAACGGTTGGTTCCTGCACAAACGCTTAGGTAATAATTATATGGGCATGGACATTAACATGCACATTGAAGATGTTGCTACTGATAGCCTTAGCGGAAGTCATCAAGTGTGGACCTTTTTGCCCACCGTACTTGTTTACTGATCCTGTGTGCGAGTGACACCAGCTGCAGCCTAGCACTTTGCAACTGTACTGCATATTCTTTCACACTGGTCGCTCCATTCCATTTATCGGACGACATTGGTACTCAGGGATTCGTCGTTTGGTAGCGCAAATATCCATTTAACACCTTAAGAGGAGACTGACTTCTTTACCCTCCTCTCTTCCATAGTCACAGTTCACAGTGTACTTGTTCTCTGAAGGTCACATTCGATGTGCTGTGTTCCTAACCTCGATTCTCCAGTCGTCCGCACACCTCCGTACGTAAGCCTGGCATGCATCACACGGCGGTGCTACTGCACGCTTCCTCACTGCTCCTGCAACTGATTCGGCTGAGGCGGGGATTTTTGCGACACTCATTTGGACTTTAACACTTCGTTCGAGTGCGTTACGTTTTCTCAATCACCAGCTCCACCACTTGCTGTTTTCATTGTACCCCCTGCTGTTACAAACAGGTGACACGTGACGCTTTGTTGGCTTTCTGTTATGCCAGGAACACAACGCTTCAGATCCTAACAGATGCTTATTTCGTCTCCACCCGACTATTTGCCCATCCCTTTGCGGGATGAGGCTATCCTTTTCTGCAGAGCTGCTATCACTAAACCTCCTAGCCGTTTATCCGCGGTGCCGTTCGATCTGCTCTGAGTCCATTCTCGTCGAACACACTACATCGTGTGTGCGACCCAATCTTGACACTGTGCCTCTCATACTCAGGCCTCATATACCTTGCACACAGGGACTCGTTTCAATTCAATTTATTCGCTCATCCGTGATTTACGCAATAAATTGCGATAGATCCAGCCGCTTTAACTTGCATCTCAGTGACACTAATAATAACAGAGTAATTCAATAGGATGACAAATGAGATAGAGGAAAGGATACTTCAAGCAGAATCCTTTAGATCCTTGAGTCCCGAGGTTAGTAATCAGTAGTCCCTAGACGAATTCAATGGCATCATCAATCTCGATAGCTCATCCCGTCCAGCGAAATTTCTACTTGTTGATGTGTTCCATCCCTTGTCTTCTATCCATGATGAAAACAAGCACTAACTCGACTCATTTTTATGGTCAGCTTGTGCACGCCTATGTATTGTCATCTACTTGCCACCGCTGAATTCTATACTTTAACTACGTGCAGTATTTAGTAATGAAGTGGCCGGTCGACAGTTATAAAGAGAACATGGTCTGTTCTACTATAAGGGCACAACACGCAGTGTACCACAACACTACATGCCCCGACTTCTTCATCTCTTTGCCGGACAGCTCTGATGTGTGTGATCAACACATGCGCTGTACAACCCAACGTTACCTGATCATATCATCACCCACATATATTGTCTACTCATTGAAAAGCTGTTTGTGATCCCACATCAGCACTGTGCTTCGACACTTGCCATCGGTCTGGACCACCCCCGTGTTTCACCAGTTAGATAATACTGCATCGCGTTTGTCAAACAGCAAAGCGATCCCTGCATCATCCAGGTCAACCAGTTTGCGCCTCCTCCCGCGACGAACTTCAATTTCCCCTTTGCTTAAGAATCCTCCATGGTGAAGTCCAAAAATACCTTGAAGCACTTTGAAAATGGGTCAAACTCTGTGGCAACTGTTACCAATCTGAGGGATGTCCGAAATCTCACCTGATGCGACCTGTTTTCTTCGACTGTAATGTGCATAAAATGCGCGCATTCTCTAGCTAAAGACATAAATACTAAACAAAGTAGAGCGATTGGTTGAATTCTTCAAGCCGCTGAAATCTAAGGGCACAGCTGTAATCGACCTGCGGTATACATGATGCTGCTGGGGCACCTATCGTATACTGAATATCTGGTCTGTGCAACCGGCTCTTGATCGGAAACACGCCTACTCTTCTTTCACATTGACCTCTTGTTTCACAACCTTAAGACGAATCAGCTTGGTTTCTGGTGACTTTGTACCAATCGGCGTCAAGTTGATACTCTTGTGATTTGCACAGAATTTGTGGCTGCTCTTCTTCCTCTTTTCCACTTCGACTGCTTCACCCCAGTTATGTGTGATAATCTCTTTCTATACCATTTCCGGACAATCGAATCATCATCTTACGGTTAACTTTATTTTCTTCCTTGATTGGTGATGACTTTAAAACACCCGGATTAACATCTCGGGAGCTCTTAAGGGCAGTAATCGCACGTAGGACGTCGGACTCTGCTGTTGCCTTCTTGTTAAATAGTCATACCTAAGCAGCATAGATGAGCCTTAGGGGACTTAGAGGCAAAAGAGCAACTTAATTACAACTTGAAATACTCCACCTGAAGAGTCAGACGGTGTTCCCGCTTTTGAGTTAGAATGCCATTTTTGTCTCTCACAAATGATTGACTTTATGTGACCATCGACATGAATTGACTAGAATGGCCTGTGATAGTTGCCACCACTCCTGATTTCTCCATTTAATGAACTTGTGGAGTCCACTAACATCCCTTATCAACAGGGTAAACTGTTGTAACTCACATCTCATGATTCGTTTGGGGTGATTATCACCGCAGCCGGCAAGAATTCTCCCAGATTCCAACAGTCCCATCAAATTTTCTCGAATCCATTGTCCACTACTCTGGTAATTTACGGCTCGCAGCCTGAAACTCTTTAACCAAATATCTCGGCAGAACTCCTGCGCAACAAGTGTTTAATGATCCCAAAGCTAGACGGTGATAACATCAGCCAAAAGGCATTCTAATAGACTTGCCTAACTTTGAACTACAACTGATCGTCGGTCGGCAATTGAGAGGTCCACTTTTTGTGCTTATTGGCAAAGCATTCGGAGGAATCAGTAAGCTATGGCGTGCTCAGTGTCGAGACATGTCCAGCACATGTGTTGGCTGATGCTATAGCCCCACCACTTGAAGCTTACCTCGATGTGACTTAATGGGGTCCATTGCTGATCATTGATCGAAGGATGCCAATGGCACAGAATCAACCACTATGCCTGGAGGCAAGGCTGCCCAGGAACAACCTATGGTTGTCCCAGTTACAAAGCATTCGTCAGTGCCCATGCGCTCAGAATTAGTTCCTAACATGCCATCCAAACGAGCATCTGTGGAGTTAATGCGACTTGTGCCCCAGTACCCACTGAAACTGGATTCTCACTCTATTGTTTCGGGACCCTTTGGTGTGCCACTTTTGTGGCAGAAGGTGTCATTAGTAGCATCAAAACCGGTCGTTCTCTTCCTTCCATCGGCCATTCAATCATTTCCTTCCTTGACTGTCTCAAGCTCTTTGGTTGAGTCCGACGACTAAACCGAAAGATGTTTACTACTTTTCAAACAGTTTGCCACGCATTTCTCATGGTGCTGTTATCACACGCTTCACGACAGAGCAGTGTCAATCCAGGACAATAAAATGGTTAAATTTGTGAACTGAAACACATTCGTTTTACCTACGTCGCGCTGTTTAACACTTTATCACCCATACTCTTCCCAATTGCTTACTACTAGTGCTAATTTATTTATTGGGTGTTACCCGCCCCAAAACAGTGTACTCCAAGACGCGTTTCCACTTTATTTGCTCTCATTAGATATAGGTAGCGGATATCGAGTCCTGGACCGTTGGAATGTTTATTGAAACCTCTATCCATTAGCCACCTACACACGATGAATAACGCTTGTCATAAAGCCTAACAACTGTACGCAGAGCCATTTTGAATTGCGGCGCATAATTTCAATGTGGACCGCGATTCCCATTGAAGTGAACTTTTTGTCAGTTCGATCACTGGGACCGTAACTGATCAAGCAGCTAGATATTGGGTATTACCCGTCCGAATACACTGCCCCGTATATTTGTTACTGTAAATCTTGTGGGACTGTCTCTAGGGTATCATATAAGAGTTTACACATTTTTAACGCTCATACTTAAAAAATCACGCTAAACAAATGCGAACAATAAGTGTCATGTTGGATTACGAAGTCAGCTTTTGAGAACAACTACTGTGTACGCACAGTTCTTTGCCAAAGCGTCCGAAACTTGAGACCAGGAGGCCCTAACTTTGCGGTCTGCTTGATATTTGGTTGCCATATCTTCTATGGCACAAAGATTGAGAGAGAACGAATAGTCAGTAGAATGAATTTGTGGTGCATTGACATTACAATGGAAGCTAATAATCTGTCAGACAGAAAAGCCGGACGTCTTTACTTTGTCTACGACGTAGTAACGATGTCAACTAACAATTGTTGTACCAAGATGGCACAATTCTAAATTTCTTGGTGGAGTATGAATTGGATGAAGAGCTTAGGAAGAAAAGACTTGATCATGACAACCAGCTGAAAGCCTGATTTATATGACGCACCTGAACTATTTGAGTACGCTTTTGGCTATATCAATGAGGACGATAACATTGAGACGTGAACTATTCAGAACAAGGGGTATAATGCTATACAGGTAAGTGGTGATTTGAAATCGGCGAAAATGGAGGCCGAATACGGGCTCCTATCGTTTGTAGGTGCGCCTACACATCAACTATGCAGCTTCCGTCACTAAATTCAGCAAAGAATGCGATCTAGGGGAGACATGGAATAGAGAACAGAAAAGTTTAATTATGACATTCATTTGTCTAACCCATCCTATAAATTTTGAAGACGGAGCTTGACATCTGCTACCAGCCCTGGCACCAAGGGCCAGGAGCACGCTGGGTAACAGAAACTTCCTACTTGGTTGTGGTATTGCCATTGGTTCAGGTCTGTAGACGAGTAAGTCCAGTGAATGCCGCCATACCAAACAGGCTTGTGGGTCAGCGAGGACTTCTTGCCTACGGATGCCATTTGCCCTTAACCCGCTATGAATG